ATCTACCATAACACTTGTTGTATTGCTTTAATATTTACCGGTCTCAAACTTGGATTTCTTTGTCACGTAATATTTTGTCTCCCAGGTCACCTTTAGAAATGCCGGCTGTGGAAGTGACAACATCTGTCAGAGTAACCTGCAACTCGAGTATAGGTTCTGCACCAAAGACCAACAACAAGACAAATGTGACCCTCTAGCCATGTAAAACCATTCTCTATGTGGCTTGTGCATGATTTAGGACTGGTGTTTTTTCAATAGCTCAAAAATTGCACATGATTGATACTTGGCATGAAGTTTGTATAAAGCTAGTGTTTTGTTGCTGTAACTGCAAAACATGTACTGACAAATGTGGACCTATGAGTTTTAATATCTCAGGAGCAATAATCAAGTAATAATCACATTATGTGGGAATTACGCAATACACTTTGCATATTAGCTACATGTTTGGTACATTTTGTAATATAGACTTATTCCTGATATAGGCATTCCTGAATTTGGCTGTATCTTTGTGTGTTGAAGGGAAAATGATATTCCTGTCATTTCTCCTGGTGATAAGAATGTTGCCCTGGAGGTCACTGCAACCAACATAGGTGGAGATGATGCACACCAGAGCCAACTTTCTGTGGCGTTTCCAGAATTTCTCCAGCTATCATCAGTCGAGCCGAAGAAGAGTAGTGTGAGTGTCCCATTTTACTGAAAACACGTTTCTGTGTAATTCTTGACAAGTTTGTATCAAAAAGCCTGACTATGTTTTGTTTTTTACCATAATGCAGTCACATTTGTATAACGCTCTGTTGCATCTGTTTGGAAGGACTGTCATATTCAGGCCTAGACTTGTATGCTCAAAAAATAGAATGTCGGATTTTAAGAGGAGTCTCAAGTTGTGTGTAAAGTATTCCCTACTGTCCTCAATTAAACTGTATGAACTAGAAAGTTTCAGATAACTAGTGGTGCATGTTAGCATGACTTGTAATTACCAGTATTACTGTCTTAAAATATTGTCCAACAATACAGTATATTTATCATTTTGTCTATTTTATTCACTAAACAATGACTGAGCTAAGTGAAGCTAACAAAACATGTTATTTCATCGAAAGAACTCTTAAATTAAGTGTTTTAGTGTACATTCGTTCAGATTTTACATATACGTAGGTGGTGTTTTCAAATACCTTTTGTCTTTTATCATGGTGCAGGAAGCTCAGGTGCAGTGTAACCCAAATGAAAATAAAACACAGGCTGACTGCCAACTTGGAAATCCTTTTAAAAGAGACTCAAAGGTATGAAAAGTAATAACAATTTTACTCAGACCATCAAGCACATTTTCAATGTAAAATCAGATCTGTCAGCCTCCTAATTCATGTTCTTTTCTTTTCAACACTTTCAGGTTTCATTCTTCCTGATACTTAACACAGAAAGGCTTTCCTTGAGAGTAACAAGCGCTAATGTGACTATGTTGCTAAAAACGTAAGAAGACTCTAGCTGTGATGATATCTTACCTCTAGTTTAACAATTAATCAACATAATACTTAATAGAAGTAGTATAAAGGTTTATAGTATGAAGAACTTTAAAAGCTAATGGGTTTGGAAGTTTAAATCTTTTACTATTTTTGTAATAAACGTTTGTTTGTTTTTTGGCAATAGGATCAGCATTCAAAATATTCCAGAAGTCGTTGCAGAAGCAAAAATTATCTTTGAACTGCATCTGAAAATCGCTGGGTAAGTCTTGTTAATTGTTAACCAAAAATGTTTTTTGAAGGAAATTAATACTTTTATTTACCAAGGGCACATTAAATTGTCAAAAGTAACAGTAATGTCATTTGTTTATTTCAAATAAATGCTGTTCTTTTGAACTTTCTGTTCATCAACGATGAATATTGTTTTCAATATTGATAATAATACGTTTAAAATATAAACAAATATTTTTCTTTTCTTTTTTGGTCCAATGAATGTAGCCTAGGTGAGGTCATGAGAGATCTTTCAAAAACATTTTTAAAATCTTACTGAACGGTAGTGTTCAAGCATTAATGTGGATTCTGCAATGCTTGTGACTGAATGAAAATACTGCTGTTCTCTGAATAACAGAATGCTTGTTTTTTGTCTTTGTAGTCTTGCTAAACCTTCCCAATTATTCTTTGGAGGAGAAGTAAAAGATTTGAAAGCAATGAAATCAGAAAATGATATCGGCTCTTTGGTCCAATATGAGTTCAGGGTTGGTGTTTCAGTCTCCTTAAAGCTACAATAATGAATTACTATGCTTTATTATTCATTATCATTAGCCATAATTCAATCTGGTTTAAGCTCTTTCAATTTCTAGACATAACAAATGAATGATCATAATAATATTTTGCAGATAGTAGCCTACGTATTAGCATATTTATACCTCAGCAGCTTGTCACAGAGAGAGGTAGTGCATCTCTGTCTGTGAATGTACAGTATTTGGCCGTATATTTTATTTACATAAAGAGTCCAGTATGATTAAAATCCTGTTGATTTTGTGCAAATGTTCTTCTGTGTCAGATCATTAACGTTGGTCGGCCTCTGAAGTCCTTCGGTTCTGTTGTGCTGAACATTCAGTGGCCAAATGCAACCAAGGAGGGAAAACGGCTCCTGTACCTTGTGCAGATCAAGGATCATCGAAAAAATATTATTCACTGCACGCCAGCAGATGCAATCAACCCACTCCGATTTACCAAGGTAGTTCCTTCATGAGATATAAAGTCAAATAATGATCATTTATTAACTTCAGCTGTCACTGGTTATACTTTGCAGCTGTCTGTATTTGATATATGATCAATCCCTTCTGGCATTGTGGGAGAGGTCCCTAATGTTTCCCATGCTCACTCTTTAGGCGTCATCCAGAGGACGGCGGGAAGTAGAGCATGAATCAGGCCTGAAGGCTCTTGCCTCTACTGATTTTTTTCCCTCTTTGGGCAACAAAAGAAAGTATAAAACCCTGGTAACTTTTTCTTTTCACTACTATCAGTAGTTATACTAGCGTCTTTAAAATGTATATCAAAGGTTTTAAGGTACTTAAGTTTGTCATAAATGTTTTTCTACTTTTCACGTTGCCGCCCCAGACATGTGCTGATGACTTAAGATGTGTGGAGATAAAGTGCCCTCTTGAGGCAGTGGACAGCACTACAGCCGTTGTTCTTCATGCACGCTTATGGAACAATACTTTTCTTGAGGTACAGTTGCTGCACTTTTCTCTGCACTGTAACACTTAATGAATTGACTAAAATATTAATGAAAGCTCATTAAAGTTAGTTGAAAGTTCAACCTAACTGATTATATTAAGCAGAACTCAAACTGAAAGGGTTACTAGAATGTTTGATATTTTCCATTTAAAGTAATTTGGTCTACACACCAAAAATGTTTTTGCTGCTAGCTCAATCTATGTTGATTAATGCAGCAATAGTCCTCAACATTTGAAATTTATGGTAGCAATATGAAGTGTTATTGCCAAATTATAATTAGCTATAAGAGATTTGTTTGAATTAATTTTGAATTAATAAAGTTACAACTTTTTTTTTTTACCTTGAATAGTTTGTCAAATGCTTTTTTTTATTCATGTATGTGATTTTTGTTAGAGGACTCAAATTAAATATGTTCACACTGATTTACATTAAAGGGATAGTTAACCCAAAAATGAAACATTTACTCAGCCTCAGGTTTTTCCAAGTGGGTTGTCAGTCACTTTTCTCAGATTCTTATGTATCTATCTATCTCTCTGGCCATATTAAGGAAGTAAACACAACATAAAAAGTAAAAACAATAAAACATAACGGAGCAAGACGAGCAGCCAACACACCACCGGGCACCATCTTGTTCCAATTGTTCCTTCTATATCGATTTTTTCACTTTTATTTTTTTGTTAAAGGAATGAAATAAATTCACAGCTTTTACCTTTTACATTTTTGTCAGTCCTCTTAGTTTTTTTTTTGTTTATTAAGAGGACTCAAATGAAATGTTTACTCTTTTTTTTTTTTTTTAAATGGTTTGGTTTGTCTATTGCCTTTTCTTGAGATTGGATACATTTTTGGGTTTAACAGTGTGAGCATATTGACAAGATGTTTTTTTCTTTACAGGAGTATAGTTCATTGAACTACTTGGATATTGTACTGGATGCGTTTTTGACTCTTAATGCGACTCAGGAGAATATTGGGATGCAGCCATCCAATGATAAGGTTAAGTGTCCTGTAGATTAGCACTCATTTATACAATTTTTTATTTGATTGTGCAATGTTTAGACGAAACTAACTGAAATAATATTTCTTTGACTAATATAGGTGAAGCTAACGGTTTTTCGTGAAAGAAAGCCTGCTTTGCTCAGTCGAGTCCCATGGTGGGTCATTCTACTCAGCATATTGACTGCACTGTTTTTACTGGGTCTTCTCTTCTACCTGTTAAAGAAGGTAATGTGACACTCACCATCTCTAACCTAATTTTAATATTTGGTTTACCAGTGTAGAAAGTGTAGTTGCATGTGTTTGCAAACAGAGTATTAATTTGCTGATTTTTGACTTAATTGTATAGTTTTTTTGTTTTTGTTTTTTGCTCCTCAGTTTGAATGCTTGAATTGTGGAATGTGTGCTAAAGAAAAGAAGGTATACTAAGAATCAGGACAGGAACATATGACAACCAGAGTTGTGCCTTCTCAGGAAGATGGACAAAACAGTTTTCTGATTCTGTGGAGATTTTATTTTTTCTTGCACAGGTCAAAAAAGTTTTTTTTCTTTCTTTCTTTTTTATGTTGTCTGTAAATAACATTTTGAGAATTAATAACTAAATAATCTACAAACAAAAAGTTGTAAACATGTATCACTAAGGACAAATTATGCTACTCTGCTTACATCACATCTGATTAACATTGTCATCTTACAATGTTAATCATACATCTGAGTATTTAATGCAGTGAAAGAACAAATTACATTTACATAGTAATGTGCACTGTCTGTAATGTTGGTGGTAGAGTAAAATTTCCTTTGCGATGTGATGTATTTGACTGGAATGACTCGAGTGTCACGGAGAAGGAGGCGGAGGTGTGCGCAGGAACATCTTGAGGGCAGGTGTAAAGATGAGGATGGTGCCGAGCACAGAGACTGTGAGGAAGGCCCAGAGAAAAATCCTGTCCAACACCTGAGCCACAAACTTCCAGTCCTGAACTACCTGGAAGAGAGAAGGAATGTTCATTATCATTATCATAACTATCATGACTGGCATCTTCACCATCAAATAATAGTCAACACTATAAAAGTCATTAGTGCTAATAAATTATTATTCTTAACATCAACAGTATGCTAGAGCAACCTTATTACTGCAAAACATCATTAAATATAGAGTAAAATAACATAGATTCTGGCCAAAATATATTTCAAATATATGCTAAATATATATTGTAATCAATCAGTATAAGAAAAAAAATTTTTTCAAATTAAAAAAATATACATATTTTTTTAATTTAAACCTTCACATTTCTATATTACATATATTCTATATTTGTATAAATATTCTATATATTACAGAATTTACTGAAAGGGAAAGACAATACTTTTCAAAAATGTTAAATCTAAAACATTTACAAACTGTTAAAATGTATGAAAATTGTAAAGTACATTTTGGGTTGGATAAAAAATATATTAATGCGGATTTTTAAAAATATATTTTGGAAAAATAAATATATATACATCATTGTTTACTGTTACTATTTTTATGTTTTCAAAAGACTGCTTATGTTCACCAAGGCTGTATTTTTTTTATTTATAAAAATACAGTAAAAGCAGTAATACTGTAAAAATCATTTTATTACTATAAAAAACATTTTTTAATATATTGTAACATTTTATTTATTCCTGTGATGGCAACATTTTATTTTCAACAGCAATTACTCCAGTCTTCAGTGTCACATGATCCTTAATAAATCATTCTAATATGATGATTTGCTTCTCAAGAAATATTTCTTATTATCATCAATGCTGAAACTAGTTATGCTGACTAATACTTTTTTTGAAAACGATGAAACGTTTTTCTTCATAACAGCTAGATCAAAAGTGCAGCATTTATTTGAAATAGTAAACAATTTGTTTCAAAAGGTTTCTCACTTTTGAACAAATTAATGCATCATTTATTTAAAATAAAAGTATTTTAAACGACCTTAAACTTTAGTGTATGCCTAAAAATAGTTTAATTTTTGTATTTATATATGCAGTCATTCATTAGAAACTTTCCTTTACCTTCATCTCAAGACATCTTCAAGCCCTTACCTCCCTAATAAAATGCTCCTTCTTAATGTGGCGTGAGATGTAGCGAACCGAGTTGGTAGCCTGCTCCAGCATATTAATCAGAGCTTGACCTTCTCCTTCAGGACCAGGTGGCCCTTTCTTGTTCCTGGGCTTAAGGTCAGGGCTGTGAGGCTCCAGCTCTGGGTAATGATAGCGGTCCGTGTTTCCCCTCATGCAGAGCAAATGAGGCAGCCGCTGGAGAAACAGCGAACGCACCCACGGAGACATGGGATGGTAAGTAGCTGAAGAGCGATGGTGGACGTTGATCACAAAAACCGTCACGATGATGGAAAGAGTGACAAAAATCATGATAAAAAGCAGGTACTCTCCAATCAGCGGGATAACCTTGGAGGAAGAAGGGATGATCTCCTCGATGACGAGAAGGAACACAGTGAGGGACACCAGGACGGAGGTGGAGAGAGAGACTTTTTCCCCTTCATCAGAGGGCAGGTAGAAGACCAGCACTGTTAGGAAGGACAGGCCCAGGCAGGGAATAATGAGGAAGAGTGTGTAGAAGAGAGGAAGACGTTTCAGGATGAATGAGTACGTGATGTAGGGGTAGGAGAGGAGGCCGTCTCGCCGACTGCCTTTGACCCCAGTGGCACTGAGAATCTCCCACTCGCCGTTATCAAAGAAGTCGCTTCGGTCCACCTGCTGGTTGATGAGGACAAGTTTGACCATGTTTCCATCATACGTCCAAGAGCCAAACTTCATAGAGCAGTTCTGCCGATCAAATGGGAAAAAGGTCACGTCCATGTTGCAGGCGGACTTGTAGCTGGCAGGAGGCGTCCATGTGATCATACCGTTGTACCGTACGATGGCTTTGGTCATAAGTGAGCCTTCAAAACGTCCATCAGCACTAAAAGTGGCCAGGATAACATATATTAATGTCTTAATATTCCATAATGAGTCATTATTGTTATTTCCACACAAATGGCACAAACTTACTTCTCATATAAAACAATGTCTGGGAGCCAGATGCTCTCTGATGGGACTCTTATAGAGGTGATGCCCCCATAATTCTCAGGGTTCCATCGCAGTTTATAATCTAGCCATTCCTTAAAAACAGAATAATTTTGAGTTCATTATAACAAAGAAAATTTAAGGGTTTAACTGCTTTATTGTCAGTCAGGTAGCATT